AAGGTTGTTCTTCCTAACCTTTCACCAGTCTCTGTGGCCGGTAGCTTCAGAGGACAGCACTCTGTGCACAGTGCTGTCCTCTGAAGATGCCGGCCACAGAGACTGGCGAAATGTTAGGAAGAACAACCTTCAGAACACGGCCAAAGAGCCCAAAAACCCACAGCAACCATTAGATCCCAGCCATGAAAGCCTTCGCAAATACATTTACTGACAATTTTTACTGGGATGTTAGAAATACTGTATTTCCCCTCTTAAAATTGTTGGGTTGACAAATATGGAAAACACCTCTTATATGTTCTGTAGGAGGTTTTGGACATATTGCACCTCAGTTTCCACGTTTTCTCTATAGTAGCAAATGCTTTTTAACAGCAGTAACAAAATTTTACTTCTCTGGGCTCAAATTACAGCCACTGGAGCAGCATAAAGGCCCTAAGCCATACTTGGCATTAATCTGCTGTTTTCAAAATTTACATTTCAGGATTTCAAACAAAATATCCCTTTTTTAAAATAAAAACTATTCCACAAAGAGGAGGAGTCAATCTCATACCTCTTATCTGCTAGATCTGTTTTGTTTCCTACTAGCATTATGATTACATCACTACCTCTTTCTGTTCTCACATCATCAATCCATTTTGTGGTTTGTTGGAACGAGTTTACATCTAGGAAGGAAAAGACAAGAAGATGAAAGGTACCTTGCATTATTCACTTCACTGTCAATACACTCACGTGGGCTGCACCCAACCGCCTATGTCAGACATCTGTGTCAGAGATGGATCGGATATCTGGGATGTTGATGGCAAATGACAAGCTTCTGAGCACCAAAACTGGAAACAGGCATGAGATGATGGAACTTGTTTTTCTTGATCCAAGAAAGTTTCAATTCTACCGTCTTTCCCCGAAAATAAGACAGGGTCTTAGATTAATTTTTGCTCCAAAAAACTCATTAGGGCTTATTGTCAGTGGATGCTTTATTTTACAGTCATGTTATCGTCTTCTAGTTGCTGCACAATGTTAATTTTTTTAATTTACATTATTTTTAAAAAAAACTCCCTCTGGCTGCAAATTACGTAAGCTTGAAGCCCTTCAATGAATGAGCAAAACAATTCCTATCCTGGTTCTTTCTCTCTTTATAGGGGTAGAGAAAAAGGAATCTGCTTTTTTGCTTCAGCCATGGGTTCAAGAACAGTGTGCCGGTGTGGAGTCATGGACAGAATGACTTAAAAAAAAACTCCCTCTGGCTGCAAAATAAGTAAGCTTGAAGCCCTTCAACGAATGAGCAAAACAATTCCTATCCTGCTTCTTTCTCTCTTTATAGGGGTAGAGAAAAAGGAATCTGCTTTTTTGCTTCAGCCATGGGTTCAAGAACAGTGCCGGTGTGGAGTCATGGACAGAATGACAGCGGCCAACAAAATCACATGAAGAAAGATGGTAGCACTTGGCCATTCTGCTCCATGGACATGTGGCAGAGGCTCGTTCCCATCAAGACTCTGGGGACAATTTGTCTGGTTATATTTTTATCCCCTTTGTCTACTATCCTGTTTCCCTGAAAATAAGCCCTAGTATGATTTTTCAGGATGCTCGTAATATAAGCCCTACTGCAAAAATAAGCCCCAGGGAAGTGAAACCCCGCCCTCCACCCCAAACCAGACGATGACATGACTGTAAAATAAAACATTCCCTGAAAATAAGCCCTAATGCGTTTTTTGGACCAAAAATTAATACAGTATAAGAACCTATTTTATTTTCAGGGAAACACGGTAAGATGTGGGTTAACAAACAAACCAGCTGACACGAACTGAAACCCAAACCAAATAGTAATTAAACCAAAAATTAATACAATATAAGAACCTATTTTATTTTCAGGGAAACACGGTAAGATGTGGGCTAACAAACCTGCTGACACAAACTGAAACCCAAACCAAATAGTAATTAAAATGCTGAACACAAAGATGCTGGAACAGAGCCTTGGCACAATAATTTATCACAAGGTTGTGAGCCAAGGCAGCTGCAGAGGCTGAAAAATGTGGCATCCTAAAGACACTTATAGTCCTTCCCTGGTTTTGAACTGGACAGGTGCTATGAGCTGAAATTGGGTGTTTCTGCCACAGACCTCATGTTTGTTTGTTTGCCTGTGTCGCTTGGTCCCATGATTTAATTAGAGAAAACAGTAGGGCATATTTTATTTCTTCATAATATTATTTATAAATTGCCTTTTGCCCCCGCAAAAAGGTTTCCTAAGGCAACATGTCATATTTTAAATTTTTTTTTAATCTATTTGTGATATTGACTAAAATTTTTAATCTTTATCATAAATATTGATTAAAATGTTAAAGACATAATACAAAACAGATCAAGAACAAGAAAATCCATCTTTTTTTGAAAAGAGAAAGGAAACAAATTATATACAAGATCATTCCAAAGGTAAGTGGAAAAAAATCATTTTAACAGCCTGCTTAAAACTAAACTAAACAGTAGCCTCATTTTACTGGCCTCGGAAGGCTGAGCAAACCTCAAGCCAATAGTCAGGTCCACTGGTATCAAACAATGACAGTGAGCAAGAGTTTTTGGCTGCAATACAACAGTTGAACCACTACGCCATGAGGCTCTTTGTAGGAAAAGCTCCAAGACAGTGCAAGGGTCCAACTGGAGAAGGGTTCCCCCCTCCCAGATATTCTAACTCCAAACAGGAGTTAGAACCAGCACTTTGAATTGCACTTGGAAACAAGCTGTAAGCCAGTTCAATTTGTATTGGCTGATGCAGAATGGTGTGATCAGAACATACACCAGACTTCAATGCAGGTGTCCCCTTCTACATTAGATGAACTTTTTCTAATACTCTCTCAGGCAGTCCCAGGCGTAATCCATTGCCATAATTGTAACAAGATTATGGTATGGGCCATTGTGGCAAAACCTGCCTTATTCAGGAAGGGGTGCAAATGGCACGGCTGCCACCTGTCCCCTGCCCCAAGCAATGGCACATTCATAAGCACGCTGAAGCTGTAGAACCTCTGATACTTAAAACAGACAGCCTGAGCCCTGCCCAAAACAGGTTTTAGAAGGAATTACTTCTTTAAGGTATACATACCTTGGCTGAACATGAAAGAGCAAAACAGATTGTAAAAAAAAAGAAGACAGTTTTATGGTATAGAAGAGGGATGAGACAATCTTTGGCGCTCACACCCAGCAGCTATTAGGAGCATCAGAGAAGCAAACAGCAATGACATCAGTGGAGAAACTCAATTTGAGAGCAACCATTCACAGAAGAAGCCAAACACATAACAGTGACACCCACAGAATAGCAGATGAGCTAAGATGGTGATGAGGCCAGCTTTTCAGTAATTCTGAGCACACGCATGTTGTGGAGCAGCGGAGGGAAGAAGTGAAAATTGGAACAGAACAGGGACTGCCATTCTGCTTCAAGGGGGAAATATCCTAGCACATCTTTGGGCAAACTTCCATCATTCCCTCAGGAAGGCACAGAAACTATTTAGATTTTGGAAATCAGAAATGTCAGAGGTCAAATCTGCAAAATGTAGCTGTCATCCTGGAGACCCTCTTCCCACTTCCCAATGTGCATGCTAATGTGGCTCAAAGATATGCTAAATCAATGCAGGGGAAGAGTTGAAAGCTTTTTAGCTGGTGATTCGGCTGGGCTATGGGGATCCTAGCTGCTACATGCAAGACATCTGAAACACAGAGGAACGACCCCTGTTTGAAGCTCCAGAGCAGTCAGAATTGTCACACCATAATGAGGACCAAGCAGACGACTGTGGTAAAGCATGCATGGCAACACCTGAAGATGAAGAAGGGGAGAGAGAATAAAGGGGAAGAAAAGAGGAAGGGGAAGAAGATGAGCAGGGAAGAGGTAACCAGAAATGCAGAAATTTCCCCCCACTCACTTGTGATATCATAAACAACAACTGCAACAGTAGAGTCACGAATGTAGCTAGGAATCAAGCTCCTGAACCGCTCTTGACCTGCTGTGTCCCACAATTGCAACCGTACCTAACGGAAATCAGTCAAACAAGCAAGGAAAAAAAAACACAAAGAGTCAAATCCAGAGCAAATATACCTACTTGTGATATCGTAAACTACTACAGCAGCAGCAGAGTCACGGATGTAACTGGGAATGAGGCTACGGAAACGTTCCTGACCCGCAGTATCCCAGAGCTGCAACCTGATCTGTGGGATGGGAGAAAATTAAAAAAAAAAGCCAAACTGCCACTAGAAATGAAGAAAAATCTGATTGCTTTTTTAAAATAAAAAAGCGAAGTGAAAATATATTATCAAAAAAATCATGCATGGTGGGAATCGCTTTGAGGTTGCAAGCAGAAGCACACAGCTAGGACTTTTCAGTGGCAGAAGTGGAATCTGAGGCTCTTTGCCCCCTTGGGAAAGCAGGGAGCGGAATGTACATTTCCCAGGCCAGAGGGCAGTGCCAACTTAAAATTCTCCATCAGAGGCGGTTTTTGGACATGTCCTGCAGCAGCTTGCTGGAGAAAGTTAAAAGCAACTGCCCCATTGAACGACCTTGTGTCGTTCAATGAGGCACAGCAGCTTGAAGGTCAAATCTGATCCTTCATGAGAGAGCAGGGGCTGCTAAAAACAGTAGTCCAAGGATGAGTGTAGTTCATCAGCAAAGCCAGTCAAAAGCCAACACTCATGTACAGAGGATAACTTTTGATTAAATGCAGCACATTAAAAAAAATAAAAACCCAAACAAGCCAGCAATCATGATGCAGGGAGTGGGGACTTCATTCCTGATGGGAATTCAGAAACGTAAGTAATCTGATAATACCCCATACAGGTCACACCAGGACTTGGGACAGTTAGAAGCTTAAATATGTCAAGGTGCCCGCACTGCTGGATATTGGCCTAATGCTACAAATAAACATTTCATTTAGGTTCCAAGAAAATGAATACATTTCTCAGCACATCTGCTTAGCAAAGGCAGCAGCCACATTCAGAGGTGGAGACCGGCATGGAGAGAACGGACAACATGTTGGAGTGGAACCTGAGAAGTCAAGAGTTAGCCCTGTTTCAGACTGAGCTCTGTCTGCTTCAGTTCAGCACCTGAAGGCAGACAAGACAACCACCTTGTTGAAGCTAGACATAAAGGATCCCGAAGCCTGGCCCAAAGGAGAGCCAGGCACTTTTGGCCATAACTGATCCACTGTAAGCAGGCTGGCAGTGGAATGGGCCATCTGAGAGGGGAGATGGGATACTCCCTCCCTCCCTCCCTTCCTCCCTTCCGGGGGATACTCTCCTTCCTTGGGAGCTGTTAAATAGCAGGAAGGGGCTGGGGATGCTTCAGCTGCAGATGTTCTGACCTGGCAGGAGGCTAATCCCAAGACGGCCCTTGGGATTCCTTCGAACACTACGATTCTAAAATTCTATTGATCTGATCAGGGCCTGCATCAGCCTCCCTAAACCTCACATCCTTTAAATACGTCAAACTACACCACCGCCATTCAGCAGTCCACTGACAATACTGGCTGGAGGTAATGGAGGTTCAATCATTCAGTGCATCTTGAAGAACCAGGCTGGAAAAGCCTGGCCTGAATGGCTGCCTGATGTCTTAAGCCTTCACTGTGAGGAAAAAATGAGATGTAATACGGTGATAAGAAGCAAAACGGATCTTCACTACCTTAATATTGTTGCAAGGATAAATAAGAAATACTATACAATAAATCAGAAACATGGGTGCTTGCTCTCTTAAACTACTTGGACCAGATCCTAGGTAGGGTGAAACGGCTTTTGAATTAGGCATTTCTTTTTATCGTTATTGTACTGTTCTATTCTCTGTTAAGCTTTCATGTTCTGAATTGGCTTGAGAGCCATCAATAAATATCAGACTGGATCCCATTTCTTGTTTGAAATGCGCAGTCGGCAATTTCTGACAATATCAATTTCCCTGCTGTAGATGTCAACCCTAATCTCCCTGAACAGAGGATAGGATCCCTGATACTCTTGAATGGATTGTGGGTTCCAGGATCGGGGTGGAGAAAGGAAGAACTGATGACTGCAATCCTCTTCTCTGTGCCAGTGAAAATGCCTCCCTCAACGGGAAGCTGTTCGGAGACAGAAGGAAACTAATGTAGATAAAACAACCAGATGCACAGAGCAGAGGACCAGTTCTCTAAAATATAACCAGCGACAGATCTGGACAATCTTGAAGTTATGTCCTCTTGATCCAAGGTCATGTCATATAATAAAGATATTCTATCCTAGTTATTTTTGCGTTTCTGATTAAGGCGCTGGGACAGTTTTCATTCACTGTGTCATCTGCTGGCTAGCTTAAACAAGTACCTCTGCAATACAAACAGAAAAGCCCAACTGTGGAAAAATGTTCTGCAAAATCTACATGGGGTTCTACTGAGAACAAAGTTTCTGCCTTGCCATAAACCTAGTCTTGCAATGAGGCATTTTTCATGTAAGGCCCCCAAGTATGCTCTAAACTAAACATTTTCAATGGCATCTGCAATGCCACACTGACAGTTTCAGCAATAGTAACTCTCCTCTTTGACTCAGTGGAGGAGGACCTATGGCTGCTCCGGGTTGCTCTTGTGCTCAGATCTTTCAAGTCTCATTCAGACAATGCACTGTACCCCCTGTATTAAGAGAATAGTCTACTTATTACAAAATTCTTACTCACTGTGCGATCTTCCAAGTACATGGTTTTTGATAAGAAGTCAATGCCAATTGTTGCCTGCAAAACAAAGATTTTTTTAATGGTGAGTAAACAGATCCAGTCAATTTCTCTGGGCATCTGTGCTCCTCTAAGAACAGGTAAAGCTTATTCAAATATTAATCAAGAGTAAGAAAACCACAAAATGCCTCAAGACACTGGGTGCAGGAAATACTGCACTGATTGACAAGTCTACACTGAAACAAGCTTACTGATAACTGGTAAGCAGAAGTTTTGCACAGTAGATGGTAAACATACCAATATTAAACACAGCCTCCCTAATTTTATAGCAACTGGCTATAAAATGGGAGTCATGTGGGAGAAGGCCCCCTCCTGTGTGCTTGTTAGGCGAGTCTCTGAAACTGCTGGTATTTTTAAGAGATCTTAACGTCCAGACACTCTTAATGAGACACCCACTCCCTTAGATAGCCCAGCCCCAAGATGTTTAAGGTTTTAAAGGTTAAAACCAACATCTTGAATTGGGGGCAGTAGGCCACTGCCAATCAGGGCTGATCACTGGCTGTGACAGTATGCTCTGAAACCAACTCGCCTTTTAAATAGGTCACAAGGCCTCCCTGCATCACTGTACCCCACCACACATATATAAACAAACTTATTTTTCAAAATTCAATGCGGAATTCCAGCCACTCCGTTTCTTTTGTTTCACTTCTTACTATTTTTTGACTGCCCTTGACACTGGCAGAGGGTCTCAAGGGCAGAAAAGCGGTGCTATGCCTACCCTGTTCAGAGATACTATGTACCTGAAGCCCCACACTGAGGTATGAAAGCTCAGACAACAGTGCTGTCTGCCTTCAAAGCCAAACAAGGTGTGAAGGACCTGTCAAGTTTGTTTTTCGAAGCTACTGTTATTTAACGAGGAAAAATCCATTTCCCAGAGGGGAGTGCCGAACAGTCTTTGCCTTACATTACCTTTCTACAGGTGATCATATCCAGCATGTGTGATCCAGTCTATTCTGATACAGAAAAGCTGGAAGAAATATGATGAACTAACAGCACAAGTTAATTCAGACAGATAGGTGTTCAACTCCCTTGCTAGCATGACTCTTTCCACACTAAAAACTGGAAGCTGCTCTCTGCTACGTGAGAGGAAACAAGTAAATGTGAACAAAAATACAGCTGTCCCCATCACATCTAACTCGGGCCTCAACTAAAAACATTTTTGGCACGTTTTCTGCAATATTAATGATTCACCCCCGTTTGTAAGGAAGTGGCTACAGTGTCTGACTAGGACTCAAGAGACGGAAATGTACCTTCAGATCCCTTAATTGGCCATAAAGCCCACTGTTCAGGGATTCACCACATGGTGGAGCTGCACACTGTCCCTGAGAGTTCCCTGAGAGGGTGCAGTTGTATGTTTCACCACTTGAGGCAGTGGTCAGCTGACCTTGGACTAGTCACAGCCAACATCATCATATCATCAACATCATCATCATCTACATACTGTGTGGCCTTTGAGACTGGGTATTATATACAGTACTTGGTGATCACATCCAGCATGTGTGATCCAGTCAATTCATATATTTACTCTTTGGCCCTATAAAGCCATTACTGTAAGAACATGGCTATGTTGATCTTGGCAAAAGATGGGACTTTCAGAAAAAAATGAACCCACAGTCCCATAATTCAATGGGAAACCCTCCCCCTCTGGCCGAATGATGGTACTGAGAGCTGCCAAACTGGTAGGAGGAAGAGCAACCCTCTTACGTCCATACCATTCCCATGTCACTTCTTCACCCCCCTCTGAAAAGTGTCCTGTACTGCGGGATTCCCTGTAAGTCACAAAGGTGCACAGGAGAACAAGTTACTGGATGATTCCTAGAATCGTGAGGTTGGAAGGGGCCTCTAAAGTCACCAAGTCCAACCCCCTGCTCGAGGCAGGAACACAAATCCTGTGGAGGTAACCTCCCCCACCATCTTCAAAGAGTAGCTAAGAACATTTTTTTGGCAGAACGTCTCTGTCTATCTCAATCTCTCTGCTTCTCCCATTCTTATTCAAGAAAGACACATACAGCGACCAAAATCCTGAGGTACTCAGTAAAGGAAGAGAAAATGAATAAAAAAATGGGATGTCATGAATAGGATCTCATCAGAAGAATTATTCAAACATATAAGATTGCTTCTATGTTGAGTCTTTTTTGCATTTAAATTATCTTTGTTTATTGTTCGACGATTAGAGATTCTTACACTTTATGTTTACTGCTTAAATGCGCATTGTGTTATATATCTGTTTTTAAACCTTATGTTGGAAAATAAAATAAAAAAACAATCCTGAGGTGCTTTCCTTAATAGCACAAATAGATGGGAAGGAGGCCATGAAGACTAAAGAAACCTGCATAGCCACACTGTGGTGGTAAAAGCCACGGAGCATAGCATGCAACTGTGGTGCTGCTAGGAACATATTTTTGGATTTAATGCCATCTTGATATGTTAACAGTTGCTTTTCTGTAAGATTCTTTTTGCGTTTTAAGCCCTATCTCCCAACGGACTGTCTAGCTGCATACTGGTGTTGAAGCAATTCTCCAGAGGATGCACGGTCATCCATCCGCCAGGGCTGTTTTAGCTGTAAACTTTCTGCACTGGTCAGAGACCATCCCAACTTCACAATTCTATGCAAGCACATAGGCGAATTACCATCTGAGGCGCATTACCATCTGAGTGAAGGCAATCTAAAAGACAGAGTCAAGAGGGTTCAGAATCATATCCTATCCCCACTAGAGATAGCCATCTTATTATATATAAAGCCGTAAGGGTCAAGGGCCAGCAAAGAAAGTAGGGCACACAGAGAAAAAGAGACAGGCAGATCATTATGCAGAAGAACTACTTTAACGACTCTGTAATCACAGCAGGCAGAAATGGAAATGGTATTTGCTCCACTGGGAAGCTGGAGGCTTAATTGAGCCTCTGGCAATCCCAGTATGTGTAGCTATTGTGTAACTGGCATCATTGGTGTCTTGTCATTTATATTATTTATCATTTAAGTCAGGATTGCACACATGGGAAGAGTGCTGGAATGTTTGACAAACGGATGTTAGAATGCTCCTATATACAGTGGTGCCCCGCATAGCGACGATAATCCGTTCCGGAAAAATCGTCGCTATATGGAGCTATCGCTATGCGGAACAAAAAAGCCCGTAGAAACGCATTAAAACGTGATTAATGCGTTCCTATGGGCTTCAAACTCACTGTTCAGTGAAGATCCTCCATAGCGCGGCCATTTTCACTGCCTGTTAAGCGAGGAATCCGTCCCAGAAAACAGCAGGCAGCCATTTTGAAACTGCCGATCAGCTGTTAAAAAAGCATGGCTTTGCCATGATCGGTTCCAAGCAGGGACCCGATCATGGCAAAGCACCGCCAGCCAGCCAGCCCCGGATGTCGCCCGACCTCCTTGGCAGGGCTGTCCTGGGGCGCAGACGGGCAGGCCGGAGGGTCTTTTCCAATTTATGTTTCATTTCAAAATAAATTCCTTGTTTTTTCCAAAATAAACTATCATCACCATTATAATTTTTAAATTAATCTTAGTATGTTTCACACAGAAATCAAACAACTAATTACAGCCATGTGCCTAAAAGTTACATTGGAGAAAGTTACATAAGCAGTAATTTCATCAAGGTAGTGATCTTTTTCCATAAGAACAATGAATTAAAAAAAACATGGTCAGAAGTTTTATGTTATTTCGAAGAAAATTATCACGGTCAAGCTAGAAGGCACAATAGAGGTAACCCCGGACAGTGGAAAAGGTTTGGGGTTTTTCTTTTCCAAAAGCCCTCAGTGGCCTGGGACCTCGATATCTAATGGAACATTTCCCCCTGAAGAAATCCACCTGCCCCTTTGTTCCTCACAACATATGCCATTGAAAGTACTAACACCAAGGGAGGTCAGGAAATCCACAGCAGGAAATGGGGCATCTTCTTTATTTGTATTTAAAATATATTTATCCGCCTTTCTCCTTAAAAGGACCCAAGGTGATTTGCATCATTATCATAGGCATCCTTCAGTCTCGAGAGACTATGGTAATGTGCTCTGTATGGAGAATTTGGAACAGCGTCTAGTGTGGCTGAGAAGGCCAATTCGAGAGTGACAGTCCCTTCCACACTGAAGACAAATCCAATCTGTCCCCTGTCTGGCTCCCTGCTTTTGCTGCTTTTGTGACTTCCTCTTTGCCTCGGCCTGCTGGGCAAGAGTCTCTTCGAATTGGGAGAGGCCGTGATGCAGTGCCTGCCTCCAGGCTGAACGCTCAGATGTCAGGTTTTCCCATCTGTTGAGGTCTATTCAGACAATATTAAAAGCTAACAGCAGTGAGTATACAAATATTTAAAAGGATCAAACGAATGCCACACAAACATAAACAACCCGAAAACACATTCAAAGCAGTAAGGTACAACAATCCATTAAAAAACCTGACTCAGGCAGCCAGTCACTCAGGGAAAGATCTTCTCCTGCTGGCAGAGAGACAGCAATGATTTTCTGCATCCAAACAATCTCATCGTAAAGCGATTTTGACATCATGTGGGGATAGCATCTAGCGGGGCATCACTGTATAAAGGAGACTGTTCTTTTGAGGCCTAGCTGTCCCTGAAGAGGTTCTCAGATGCACCTTGTGTGACTTACTCCCCTGGCTTCCATACTCCAAGGGTCTGTTAACAAGTTTATCTAAAAGCTTTAGCACTCCTTTGCCAAGCTCGGCTGTCCATATACCAATTACAACAAAACTTTATAGCAAACACTCTGTAATTTCGTAGTAATTTTCCTTAAAGACTCAGAGGATATGAGCATCCTTCAGGGGAGTTTCACCTCTATTCAAGCTTGCTTTTGGAGACAACATTTTTGCTGTCATCAGGTTTTTTTAAATATAGTATACTATGACACTGGGAACCAGGGTTATTATAGTAGGACCCCCTTAAACATAAAATCAGTATCTCGTGATTCACTTATCCACACTCTAAAAATATTAAAAATACTATAAGCCAAATTTTTCAGAATCACTGTGGGGGCTTGGAATAGATCCCTGTTGATACTGGGCTCCTAATGTACTGTAAAGTTTTTTCAGTGCAATAAATTATGAGACAATAACAAGTCAATCTTATCTCACTGTTTCTGCCATATTTATCCCCACTGAGCCTTTCCACTGGACAAGGTGGGCAAGCAACACATAAAGAGATTTCATAGAAGGAGAGTGTCCCAAAATGATTTAGCCAAGGAACTGCAGATTTGGCTGTACTGTAGTGGTAGACCAGGGCTTCATCAGCATGAAGAAATTACAATATAGGATTCAGCTCCCCCTCCAGTGTAACTGAATTCCCCCCAGATTGTTTGGTCTCATATTATCACTACAGTTATTACCATCTATATCACAATGTCACAGATGTATGAGCTCTGCCACTACTGGAACACTAAAGCAAGGTCCTCTTCACTTATGCAGCATATTTTTTGTTGTTGTTGTTGTTGTTGTTATAACAACAACAACAACAACAACAACAACAACAACAACAACAACAACAACAATTCTGCTACAACATAAGCCAAAAGGATTAAGGCACTGATGCAGCTAAACCTTTTCCAAGTTTTGCTCATGATTAACATGAGACATCTTTTTGTATTTCAGAAGCACTCAAGGCCTCTTCAGTTTAGGGAATCTCCACTGCTTTCAAGGGCTGGCAATGTAGCAAATTCAAAATGCTTGCATATTTAATAGTCCTGCCTGATTCAGGTCCAAATGAAAAGGGTGACTTCAGGGAACAGATTTGTGTAATCACAAATCAGAGAAGGGAGGATTCTGCCATAGTGACCGAGATGGCATGACCAGTCTTACAATACTTTGAAACCTAGATAAATCAAAAGGGACTGTGCCCATCTAACACAACACCATGCCTGTCTTTTTACCTATTAGGTTCTCTGAATGAGACACAACATCCCAATTTGATCACGAAAGTTTCTCCTAATATACAATGGAATGATTTTTGTAAAAGGGTGGAAATAAAGCCAGAGAAGTCCAAATTTCTCATGTGACATATTCAACACTTCACTACTAACAGTCTGTTATAAATTCATCTGCTCCATCAGGCTTTGTATCATGTGCAGCAAGAACAATAATATTAAAATAAATCACTTTTTTGGAGTAAAGACATCTGGGACTATGTTAAAACAAATCACTTCTTTGAAATAAAAAGATCTGGGACTCTTGAGCAAAAATAAATCCATGCCATTATTTATAGCTACAAAGCTACTTCTGCAGAACCAGCTAGAGTTGTTAGACTTCCGAAGGGTTATCTATATATGACATAATAGAAATGTCCTCAACCTTAAATCTCAGTATAATCAATACTTCTGCTAATTCACCATTTATTCAACTGGAAGGACGGATGACAAGCTACAGAGATTTCCAATTTTTGGATGCTGATAAAAGGTACCTGAATTATTATTCATATTATTTTACATCCATGAGACAGAGACTACAGCTGATCACTGCCTCGTTTTATGGTGTTAAAAATAAGATGGAAGCTTTTTTTTAACCAGGAGAACGCCTGGCCAAGTTTTTGCACCATATGAATAAACATGAAGCCATGAAACAAAGAGTTCAGTGGTGTCTTACAACAAATAAGTTTTATTTTGCATAAGCATTCACTATTGTTACTTCATCACATGCATCTGGTGATGAGGATTGACATCTGTGAAAGCTTACACCAAACAGAACTTGCTAGCCATTAAGGTGCCACAAGATTCTTTGGGGGATTTGCTGGAACAGACTAGCACAGCTGTCTCCACGGGAGTACAGAAAATAGTGTCTTACCTGGTAGGTGTTGTCAAAGCTGTCATACATGAATCTGGTGATCAAAGAGGTCTTCCCCACTGGAAGGGAAAAAAAAACAGGCAAAATTTAAACAATAGTAGGCACATCCAAAAAGATACATCAGATGTTACACTGCTATTGCACCAGAGCTATGATAGATGTTACATTTTCATAGCAAGCACGCTCTGGAACTGGTAGTTAACCTAATTTGTTTACATCTGGAGGAATTTATCCTAAATATGTAATCACCAAGAGCAATCTGCTTCCAGTTTAAACTGGGAAGAGGTCAGATAGAGAATGAGGATGTAAATGGAAAGACTGTGGCTTGATAAGGTAAACTGTTCATCTCTGGAAAAGATGAGGGTATGAAATTAGGAGGGAAGCAAAGTCTTTTGTGAAGCATAGATAGCTACGTTTGCTGTCGCTTCTTCCATCACAACTGATTCTCTTTTATAGACTGCTCTTTCTTATCTGCACACTGCCTGAAATAGTGTGAGGCAACTGGATGAGGTCTTCGCATGGATGGGGGAATATCAGATGGTCCAACAAGACGGTTCTATTAGCATCTGCAAACATGCTGCTTGCTCAATTGTGATATTTTCTATTAGGAATTCTGGACCGTGCCATAGGAATGTATTTCTGTCAATGTTACGAAACATTAAGTAAAACAAGGAGTCTTGTAGTATCCTTGAAGGTGAAGAAACTTGCTAATTCATGAGTTTGTCTGGACTACAGTGCATTCAATCTGATAAGAAAATACAGGGATGTTCATCTATCAGCAACAACTGTTTTGTCAATTGTGACAGAGGTTAGGCCCAGATAAGAGAAGGTAGGTGTGGAGCAGAAACGTGAGGCACATCTCACAACTCAACAGGTAGAATCTGAGCACTTGGAACCATTACTGAATTCCGTCTCCTCTTCTTTCACATACTCATCCAAACTCATGCACTATACAATTCAGGGGGGTATTAAGAGCTAAAATTTCAATCCCCCCTCTTCATGCAATCTCACCAGCAGGCAAGAAGGAGATGCCAAAACACCACTGCATGCATGCTCCTCTTTCCTGCTACTCAGAGTATCACTTCCAAAGGCAGACCTCTGTGTCAGAGAAGTTATTAATCTTTGACTATTAATGCCTTGGACTACTGAAGTAAAAGCACACTGAAGACTCTTCCCAGAGATTATTAGAATCAATAACAACTACTTCCCACTGTGCCTGTAATTAAAGGGAAGCAGCAGGCTCAATTCGAAATGTGTATTCCTAATATGCACAGATTTATATTATGCAAAAACGCCTACTCAAATACATGAAATGTATCTGAGAATTCAGTGGCACTTAACACATTCCTGAATTCAAAACATTCCACTTTCTGTAATATAGTAACCCAACAGAACCAAGTAGTACGACCACATCCCCTACCTACTGTTGTTTCTTATCGCCGAGTTTCCCTCAAAAATAAGATAGGGTTTTATATGAATTTTTGCTCCAAAAACAGTAACCCAACAGAACCAAGTAGTACGGCCACATCCCCTACCTACTGTTGCTTCTTATTGCCGAGTTTCCCTCAAAAATAAGACAGGGTCTTATATTAATTTTTGCTCCAAAAACACATTGGGGCTTATTTTCAGGGGATTTTTTTTTCATCTACAACCATCTACATTTATTCAAATAGTCATGTGATCTTCTTCTGGTTGCTGCACAAGGGTGGCTGGCGGGGTTTTACTTAAGGGGGGCTTATTTTTGGGGGTAGGGCTTATATTACGAGCATTCAGAAAAATCATACTAGGGCTTATTTTCAGGTTAGGTTTTATTTTCAGGGAAACAGAGTATATATATATTGTCCTCTGCATATTACAAGGGTACTATAGGCCCCACTGCATTGATTCTGACAGGGAGTTTATAAGCAATATACAGTACTGTAAAGATAGTTGAGTGCTGCGTACGGAAACAAGCCTGCCTGCAAACGTAAATTACAACAGAGAATGGTCTTAGGCAAAGAAGGAATGTAAAAATCTTACTTCTGTTGTTACTTGTGAATTTTTAAGAAGACAGGTCAGGTTACTTTTTTAGTCATGTTTCTTCAAGGGGTCATCTGTGAATTCACACATAGTGATTTGGCACCAGTGCAGAATTTTGGACTACAATCCCACACATCTCCTCCATCATCACAGAATCTGAGCATTTCAAACCATTAAGAAGGCACTGATAGTATCAATAAATGTCTTGTGGTGGTGAGGACATCCTCCAGAAGCAGAAACAATGTCAGCAGCATCAAAGAAAGGGATGATGATGAACATACAGCCAGAAACGAACACAGTGTTCCAAATGAAGCCTTTCGGCACTGCATACAGCAGCAACATTACTCAATATTTAACTTTCTTTAAAGAAGAGCGCCCTACTGAGCCAGACAGAATCAGGGCCCAGCTTGGTATCAGGAAGGCTACAATTTACAGGTCAAGGGTTGTCACCTCCAGGGAATCATTTTTACATTCCCTTCAACTCTCAGCAATGTTACAGGTGCATCAAAAACCCTTGCATGATGTATAGAACTTTTGATCCACACCGATCTTATAGGAGCTAACCAGGTTTTCAAAATTATTTTTCTCTTCTCTTTCTTGTAGGATCATTACCATCCTGTCACACATATTGGAAGGAAATGTTTATTTATTGGTTGGTTGGTTGATTTTATTTATATGCCATCTTTTCCACAGACTTAAGGTGGCTTATGTTAGTAGCCACTGAACCTTTTCCCTTTCAAGCCAGTTTATCTGCCACTGTTCGACTTGTCTTCTAGGGACAGGTTTTTAATCCCCAGAGGAATAAAAAGAACAATTGCTTCATGGTCCCAAAACAACAAGTGTCTTAAGATTTTGTTCCTCTATTTTATAGTCTCAACATTTGATTTCTGTATTTATTATTCTTCATTTAAAATATTTACAACATAGAATTTGCTAACGGCAGACTCCTAATTAAATATATACAGTGGGGTCTTGACTTGCGAATGGCCCGAGGTACGAACTTTTTGAGTTACGTACTTCTCCGTCCGCAAAAATCCATTTTGACTTGCGGACGGAGAATTGAGGTAGGTACCAAAAAGTTTTTTAAAAAAGCAGGAAAGCACCTGGAGCCGGGTGGTGGCGAAACGGCGAGAGGCGGCGGCGCTGCTCCTGCTCCAGGATTGGGGTGCCTCGGGGCATTCCGGCCGCCAGAATTCCAGCCCAGCCGGGGCCTCTGCCTGTCCTGGGTGGGCCCCGCTGAGCCGAGCTCCAGCGGCAGTGGCAAAAGGCAGCGGCGAGGACGGCGGAGGAGCCTCCGAGTGCCCCGGTGAGTCCGAGCAGGAGGGCGGGAGTGAGTTGCGGAGGGGCACTGTCG